TGCAACACATACAGCGCAAGCGAGACAAGCGTTGCAAGAATGTTGCCGTTTGTGGCATTTCACTTTTTGCGCAAAACACTTTTGTTGCGCGCCTTTTGGCATTCATATAAATAGGCAATGCATTAAACATGGTGAATTCATTTTTTAGTAAGGTTTTTTTTTTTTGAGTCCTTTCGCGCCCCTTTATAAATATTCATGCAAAATTTCAAAATTTCAGCGGTAAAATTTTCTAGCGACTTTCGTTGCATATTAATTTGTCATTATGCAGCATATATTATTTTGATTATAAGCAAGCAACTTAAATTTCAGCCAAAAGTTGAAATTTGTCAAACCAAAAACAAAAATTTATATATATAAAAAAATTTGAAAAAAATTAAATTTTTAAATAATACAAAAATTTTGCAATATTTTAAAATTTAATTTTCGTCGACTTCATTGTGCTGCATGTCTAAAATAAATTATTTAAAAAAAAAGGCAACTGCCATGCGCTCGCCGCACATCTTCACTTGCCGCACGCTTGCTCATTCATCTTAATTCTGCTTCATAAACAAAAACTAATCTGCACCCACTTCAAATGCCAGTCACGTGCTGCAGCGCGTCCTGTCTGCGTATGTATTGCGAATAAATGCACACAAACGCACAGCCACAGCGTTCCAACAACCATTATTGCATACCAAATATGCGAGTATTCAACACAGCTTGGTAGGTGGTGTATGACAATGTCAGCCAAATTGCTGCGTAGTGACCCGGTAGGAAAGGAGTGGCATAAAAAATTACAAATTTTTCCTTTTGCACAAAATTTTTTTTAAGCATGCTTCAAAATATTTTAAATGTGCATGCGGCAACATGCTTGTAAAATTTTCCAAAACAAAATGTAAAAATTCAACGTAAATATTGAAAAGCAAACTTATTAGCTGCTCATTTTTCTGTCCAAATATAGTTTTTAGCGAACCTAACGCATTAATATGCAACACTATTGCAAAATTTAACACTTCAAAATCCTTTTATGCTACAGTTTGACAGCTGTTAGCTGGGCTGTCAAATTGACAGTTCGAACGCCAACAATTTCCTACTGGGTTAACACATGCACTGTCCACCATCTATATTAAATATTATAAAAACATAATTCTAACAGCTCTAGTAAGCACAAACATTATTTCGCGATTAATTCAAACTCCCTAACGACGTTTGCTGATTGTCAGTTCGACCGTTCGCCCGCCCATCAACGCTGTCTCTAAACATTCATCATGCGTAAGCGTCAATCGCCATTACATATTATTTTTATATACATTTCTATATTGCTACAATGCAAAATTATTTATTTGGCCTGTTTTTCTGTATATCAAAAATGACATTGAAATTCCAGGCGTTCAACTTGTAGTTGTAGGCTTTGCTGACTGGCTTGGTCGCAAGGACCACCTACGTTTTGACAATTATATATGTAAATATGGCTAGTATGACAAGTGACAGTGTAGCGCGGGAAAATAGTTGCAACATGATGGGCGTTTAAAATATGCAAATCATAATTTTTAGGGAGCAGTAGTAAACGAGAAAGTCATAAAATAATAAAAAAGCTTGAATGTAGTAATAAATTTCAAGTTATTGCAACTACAAGTATATAGGCAATTGCAATGTAATTGTAGGCTTTAGTGTGTAAAATTTGCGCAACTAAATTTAATTACTGAAGATTACTGCAGAGAGCTGATTATTTTGCTCAATTTAATATATATACCTTAAAACGTAAATATTGCATTTTAAAGCTTCAAAAATATTTTTAAGCGTTTGTTTAAAGCTTTCTATAAACTACAAACCATTATAAACCTTCGCATTGCACTGAAAGATCACTGATCTTTAAAAAGTAAAATAAAAAAAACTAAATATTTTCACAGAAATTACGTTTTTGTGCTATGCCTATGTCTAAGGTCTTAATTCTCAACTCAGTAGTGATCCTTAGCGTTTCATAAGCCGCTTTGTCTAACTGAAATTTTCAAGATCACATGATCAACGTTCACTTAGAAAGCTCTTACAAGTTTATATATTCTATATATCTCAACCAAACAATATTTAAGCACTTAAAATATATATAGCAAACGCCTTCTTAAATTCTTTGCAGTTCTAAGCGATCTACAACAACTGTAAGATCACTAAACTCTAGGCGCTCAAAACAGAAAAAATAACCGTGAACGCGTTCCTCGCTGTATTTTTTAGGTATTTAAAGCACTCTACACAAGTTTTGTGGCGCTAAAAATTTCTATGCGAACTACTTGAGCCTGAGGATCTGTGATCGTGTAAAAGTTTTACGCCTTCAATGATATAAAATTTAATTGCAATAAGCTTCTACAATGCTTAAGTTGAAAACCAGCGTTCATATACAACTTTTGAATAGTCAAAACAGTAATCTACTTCAACGCAAAGATCAGTGATCTTTAAAATTTAAATATTTTTTAACAAATTGTTATTTGCATCATTTAAGTATCTGCAAAAATGGTTAAGAACAATCTTTTGGCACAATTTTAAAAGTACAACCAGCGCTTAGTTGAATTTTGCATAGATTATAAGACAATCGCGATCACTTTGATCAGTCATGGAACTGTAATGTGAAGAAGAGACTCTTGGCTGTTATTTTGTTGATGCTCAGAGCACAGCATAATAATCATAATATGTGTTTTTCTTCCTATGAGAAAATTGTCTTTCACAGTTTAGTGATCGGTAAAAAATCTGCAAACGCACATATCGATGAAGTCTGTGCTCGCTTAAAACTGATTGAAATATTTAGCCGATGTAAGACAATTATTCGTCAGCTTTAACGATAACGTCCTAATCAAATACACAAAACGCTACAACAACGCAATTCATGGTGGTCGCTTGATAGATCACTTTGTAAGCAGTACTCATGTTGATTAGCGTGCTGACAAGATCACTATAAACCTTTTCTATGCCATCAGTTAAGGAACTCTGCTAATACAGCTGTGCTTGAGGGTAACTGTGCAGCTCTTGACCAAATTTCAAATACACGCCAAGTTGAAGGCAATGCGCTCATAAATGAAGTGATCAATCACTTTGTACGACCAAAAGATCGGCAGACATTGAGTGGCTTAGGCAATTTTTTATTATGTTTTTAACTGCTGAAATTTTCTTTACCAAACAATGGCACCAAATATATACCAATATATGTCGGTCAGCGGCGTTTTTATTTACCTACCGTTTACGAAATTGCACCTGCCGTTTGCGCCACAACAAAAAGAGTGTACAAAGCGCGCAACAACAAAAGCAAATTGTTGCACTTGTTGAAAGCAAATGCTTACTTTGTTTTTCGACTATTTGAAATTCACTCAAGACTTTGTCAACAACATCAAAAATTGTGGGGACAGCAGCGTCGCTGTTTATAGTTGTCAAACTGCGTTAGCGCTGCGGGTTCGTACATTGAACGTAGGTACTGTGCGTTCAGCAGCCGTCGAACGGTTGACGCTTTCATTGCAGCAAAAAGCCACAAAATTCTGCATACAGTCCGAAAGATTAAATTAAAACTGCGCTGTATATAGATTGATGGGAATTATCTGCAACGCGGCGGTCAAACGATCACTAACTGATCGCACGCACATGATTGTTGTGAACGGAAATTGGCGTCGCACCTTTATTGTATTTTATTTTTGACGTTCGATTGTTCACATACCCGTTGACTACTTGCTAAATTGCAACTGAAATGACGCACAGCAGAAAAAGGTTTAGCCAAGGCTCAGCAATATAAGTGATTCTCGAAATTGTAGGGTTGCATGCGCTGCGTATTTTCGTTATGCAGATTCGCCAGCGTTTAAATTGTTGCTACGCTTGACAATAATTTGCGTTTGTGTCAGTGCCAAAAGGGCGTAATGCAAATTTTGCTGTATTACAATGAAGTTCACTATATAGAATGTTTTTTTTTAATATATTGTAGTTTTCTGCACAAAAAAAATTTTAAGTTTGGCAATTGCACAACGCTTATCGCAACAGCTGCAATTTTATTGGATTTTTATCAGCGATAATTTAGCGGCAATTTCAGCGGCAAACGTAGGCAGATATGCAAAAATTTATTTGACAAATAATGTATGTGAGGAAGCAGGAAATTGGCAACGCATTTAAATATTGTGGCGATAAGATGTTTGAGATATGAAAAAATGGCAACAAGAAAGGTAATAATACAGGAAAAAAACGAGAAATTTTTGAATAAGTATAAACGTTTTGGTATTGGTAACAATTTATATGTAAATTGACTACTAATATCACCAGCACTACTTGAGAATAAAGTAGGTTCACACTAGGTCCTGCAAGACTTTGTTTTCTTTATTATTCCTACATAAGCTGCACCTATTTGAATTAGTTTTTGTAGCAAGTTTACTTACTTTATAAACATGAGCGTGTGAGCACAAGCTTAAATATGTCGCTAAAAGAAAGAAGCGGTCTAAAAGTGGATTCCTAAATATTGGCAACTGCTACAGTACCATAATTTTCAGATCCAATACCAAATATTTTGATAGTAAGCAAGAGAAAGAGCCACTAAATCTGGGCTCAAGCTGTTTCAGCGTTTTTGTTCAGCATTTCATATAAATGAAATAAAAAATTTTATGAGTGCAGACTCCACTGCATAATTTTTATACTCAAGCATATGGTAAAAGATAAACTTACCGAATGTGGAGTATAAAATGCGGTGCCAGATGAAAAACTCTGATTATTATAAAAAATTATTCATAAACCGTTTGAAAATTACATACGCGCATGTCAAACGAATGAAATAGTAACGTAAGTGCTACAAATGTGCAATGCTTGAATCGTAGAATATAAAATGTTTTGCGCACCAAGTAAGATTATTATAAAAAATTATTTATGAACCTTGAGAGTTACAAACACACATGTAAAACGTATGAAATAACAGTTTAAAAGCTGTTAAAGTGAAATCCCATAATTCTCGGCAGGCTTTTGCAAAAATATACTACAAATGTGTAAGCAGATATGATTTTAAATTCAAAAAGTGCTTGCAACACACTAAAAAAAAAATTTTAAATAAAAGAAATACAAAGAAAAAAATTCTTCAAATTAAAGAAAGAAAAGAAAAAAATCTAGGAACATAATTAGCACATAAATAATGTGGTATTTTTGTAGGCGGACAAATACGAGCGGTAAGTAAATGATTTAATAATATACACACATAACTACACATATATGGATAGCACAAATATAAAGCCATTTTTCACTCGCAGGACTCGTGGGCGTGCCACCAAACTGAGTATTGCTTGGAACAATAATAAGTAAAAAAAGTAATAATATACACACTCAAAAAAGGATGCACAACAAAATGCTACCTCCAAAGGATATGTGGCAACAATAAAATACATAATTGCAGCGTCGCCACAGCTTCGCTACGAAAAAAAATTCCAACAAATATATATATTTTATAGTGACCGCACGCATGTCTACTTAGCGTTGCCGTGCATACGCCAGCTAAAACGGCCAAATGCAGCTGCAATATTTATGACTATAACAACAATAATACTCATAATGGCAATGAAGACGCCAAAGACATCAGCAAAATACAGCTAATTAACAAAGTAAACAAAATAAAAGGCAATAAATTATGCTTAAATGCGCGCAATAACAGCGCAGCGTGGATATATATACTTAGATCACATATATATATACATATATGCGCATATAAATGTTGCATTTAGCAAAGTGAAGTTGAAATGAAAGCGAAATGTGGCAATAAGGCAAGGCAAAGGTGAAAAATATATATGTATGTATGGTATGTGTGCTTGTGCCTACTTATCGTTAGTAGTGCTAAGGCAAGTTGGCGATAATGATAATGATCAGCATTACTTCGAAAATGCACATACATATGTACATTTGTACGAGTATCTATATGTGGCACGTACAAATTTTGGGCGCTGCTGACAGACGCTTGCTATAGTTAGTGGTTGTAAGGTGAAAATTAATAATAATTATGGCGCAAGCAGCAGTTAAAAGTGAGAGTGAGGTTCATACACACTTATGTAGACATGTAATTGAGTATGTGTATTGCACGAAATATTTGCGGCGCCTGATATAATAGCTTGTAATGACAGTGAGAACGCCTACAAATTGCAGTCGATGAAGTTGTCGATTGAAGTTGTCGATTGAATTTTTTTTACATTGTCTTATTAACATATTTTGGTATACAATATTAATTTTTAATTTTTTATTTATTCAATTTTTTGTTAATTTTTTTGTTTAAGTTTTTTGTTTCTTAATAAACGTTTAAGTAAATATATATTTAATTTTTTTAATTATTCTGATTATGTTTTTGAAATTAGTATTTTTGTTTTAACTTTCATTTAAATTATTTCTAGTTATTTATATTATTTTTATTTTCAAATATTTATTTTTTATTTTTTTTTACCTTTTTTAAATTTTTTGTTATTTGTTTGCTTTTTTCAATTAATAATTTGGACTGTTTATATATTTTTATTTCTTTATTTATTTTGTTATTGTTATTTATTAATTTTTTTTTATTATTATTTATTTAAAAATTTTTTATTTATTTTTTTACATTTTATTAACTTTTAAAATTTTTACATATATTTTTTTAAATAATTTTCACTTTTCACTTTTCATTTTTTAATTTTTTTTTTATTATTTAACTTAATTATTCTAATTTTTATTTTATTAGTATTATTTCTAGCTAGTTATTTCTCATTATAATTTTTGATTATTTTTTGTATTAGGATTTTGTTTTATTTTTAATTACAACCATTTTCATTTTATTTATTGAAACATTTTTTATAAATATTATTTTTATTTCACAATATTTTAAGTATTTTTAAAATTTTATTTTTATTATACAATACTTTAATAAAATTCGAGATAATACATAACTAAATAAAAATATATTTTTAAATTCCAGTTTTATTAATTTTTTTAAAATGTGTGATTAATTTTTTTTAAATTTTTTTAATTATATTATTTTTTAATTATATTATTTTTTTTTAAATTTTTTTATTTATATTCTTATTTTTATTTATATATTAATTTTTATATATTTTTTTTAATAAATATTTTAATTTTTTTATTTATTGTTTTTTAATGTCATATTTTAATTAATTTTTTTATTTTATTACTATAGTTTTTTTCATCTATTAATTTTTTTATATTATATAAATTATTTTTGGTTATTAATTTTTATTTAATTTGGTTTTTAGTATTACTTTTAATTATTTACTATTCATTTTCCGTATAATTTCTACTGTTAAAGTGTTCAGTAAGAAAATGTTTGTTTGTTTATATAATTTTTTTGTTATTTATTTATTACCATTTTTTATTTAATTTTAAATTTTATTTTTTTTAACCTTAAAATTGTTTAACAAAATTCAAGACATACATATGTAAGCAAACAGATATTTTAAATTATTAAACTGATATAAATTTGACTTTTGTACGCATTCGCATGAATAATATATTTTTCGCAAAATTCTAATAAAAGATTTTATGTCACCAAAAATATACATTTTTTCACAAACTTAACACGTTTTGATTAACAAATTTTTAAAAATATATATTTCTTTGCGCTTGTTACGCTTATTTTTTGGGGGTCTAAAGCCGACTGATAAGGTCCGCACAGGGGTCAAGTGATATAAATCAAAAAGACAAGCACGCAAAGATGACACTGAGCGAAGACGTGTCTGCCGTTTCGTATAGATAAACACATACAAGTGAAACCAGCACATAAATACACACACACACATGTGTTGAATATATAGGTACATGTGTAAGTGTGTAGGCAACGCAATTGCTTGGCTGTTACATGTAATTAGGGTGGGCTAGCGCTGTTCAACAGGCTGTTTGGCATCTTATCAGCGCTTGAGCGATCTTCACAAGATCAATGCGCCTGTTGGTCGGCTTTATTGCGCTGCACGTTGCACTTTTTGTGGCAAGCTGCTGCTGTTAAGACAACGGCTGTGTAAAATGATTTACGAGCTTGTCAACATGAGTGCAACATTTAAAATTTTTTTATTGTATTTTTTTTTTTTTACATTTGGCTATATTTTTTTGAATTTTTTATATATTTTTTTTGTAATTTTAAAATTTTTGAATTTTTGTACTTTTTACTTTTCTTACGTTTGATTTTTCTTTTCACCGAAATTTTGTCAATTTCGAAAAAACTGTCAACGCGCAGTTCAAAATACGTTATAAATCGTGCTGTTGCATGTTCTCATGGGAGACGCACGGTCTGCCTTGCTCGCTGCGCATTTTGAACTCTGAACTCTGTGATTCGTATGACAATTTTAATGAATTGAGTGGCATGTTGCATGTGATAAGCATATAATTGTTATGTTTAGCGATTGTGATTTTACAACAAAAATATATTTGGTTATAAAAGATTTTTATGTGTTGCAATATGTATTGTTATTAGCTGTCAGCGATAATAAGTTAATAATTATTGCTTGCGATAACAAACATGCTTTTTTAATTACTCAAAAATATATTGTATATAAGTATAATATGAATTTTTACAAAACAAAAGTAAAAATATAGAAATTAGAAAAAGTTCTAAAGAAATTTTCGTAATATTTTTTTAATTGAAAATTTTGTACTCTGAACAGGCTCTAAAGAATTGCACAGATTGACCTATAGCATATAGCTGCCATGCAAACTGAGCGATAAAATGAGTTCTTGTAAGCAATCTTTGTATTTGTGAAGGGTATGATAGCTTCGGTGCTAAGTAAGTTAATGTTTTTTTCTGTTTTAAACTAATCTCTACATTGACATTTTTTGAATAAATATTAATTAAAATTTAGTTTTTTTATGGTTTTCAAATGTTTAACGATTTTTGTATAATTTTTTTTTTTGAATATTTTTATATTTTGAAAACTTTGGAAAATCTGAAAATTATTTTTTAACATTTTTACAGCGTTAAATAGTAAAATTATTTTTATTGAAATGAAATTTGTTGCAAGCTTTTTATGCAAAAATATATAACATATTTTTAATATTTTCATAAAATCTGATTTTTAATTGAAAGTTATTTTTATTAATTAAATTTGTATTTTAATTTTTTTGTTAAAATATGTAAGAAAAAACAAAATTACTAGAAATACTAGAAATTACTAGAATTTTTTTAATAAAATGTTTTTATTAAATCTGAAATTTATTTTATATGAAAATATTTTTTTAATATACAAGCGAGTTTTTTTAATCGTATAATTAATATTTTTAATTCAAGTATTTTTAATTTTTTTATTTTTATGTTTATGCGGATAATAATTTTTTTATTTAAGTTACTTTTATTAATTCTTTACATTTTTAGCCATATGTCTATTTAATAACTTGTAGCGCTGCAGTTCGCACCCTACTATCGAATATCAACAAAGCATTCTCTGTGCTTTTATTTTACCAAAATGAAAAAAATAATAAAATTATTTACTTGTTTTATGCAAATTACAGCATGACTCTGATGCCATAAAAAGTGAAACCAAAAGCACAATAAAATATATAAAAAAGCACGCCAAAGTGGCAAGTGCGGCAAAGTTGAACAAAAATAAATAAAAATTGCGAATTTTCATTGCCACGGCTGTTGGTGATGATTATTGTGCGAAAAATCACACAAGCTGCCGTGTGAGCAACAAAAAATACAAACGCAAGTGGCATAAAAATATGCAGAAAAAGTGCCTTTTATTTATTTAAAATATAGTTGTGAATGCACAAGTGGCGAATTTTGTGAAGTTTTCGAGTGAATTATGCACATGTATGCAACAAAGAGGCACTAAAGTGGAAAAATCAAATTGTGCGCATATAAGTAAACCGTTATGATGACGTGTGATAAAAACTGTGAAAATAAATGTGTGGCATTTTATGATATGCAATTGGGACTTGAGGGATTAATTTATTTTGGGAAATTGGATATTTAAAATTTTCTAACTCTAAAAATTAAATTTGCAATAATTATATGATATTATATTATAAAATAAATATTTGAAAAATAATTAACTAAAAAAATTATAAAAAAACAAAACATAACAAAAAATATTTTCATTAAAAATAGTAAATATTAAAAATACATATTTACATATATTTTTGAAGGAGATTTTTAACTTTTTAGAAAAGTTACTTTTTATTTTAATAAATATTGAACCAACTCCATAAATTTTTATATATTTTCAAATACAATTTTTTGCATTTTTTCAAAACGAAATTTTTAATTTAAAAACTAAAATATCTTTTATCTAAATTTAAATTGAAAATATAAAACAAATTTATTAAATGTAAAAATATTTTAAA